AGTATTTATTTCTATTTTAAATTAAATTAGTAAAGTGCCATTTCCGAGATGTCCATGGCGTTTAACAATGCTCCTCGATCAATTTTACAATACAAACAGATAGTTTTTATGATCTGCTCTAAACTTTGTAAGTGATATTGAAGTAGTTTGATAATGAAGCAGGTTAAGAGTTCTAAAAAGTAAAGGCAGATTTAGCAAGAGAGTGTATTACAGAAAAGTTTTTTTTAGGTTTAATTAATATTAATATATCTGATTAGTACTTAGGATATAATTTAGAATAGATTGAGATTTGTACATTAATGTGAACATTTTAAAGATATTCTAGGTAGCCAGTGGAAAAGAACAAGATATAGAGATATACAAGAAAAGATAGAAGTCTGAACAACTAGATGAGCGGCAGAGTTAAAAGCTTTACTTAAAGGATAAAGTGTAGAATCAGGAAGACCATTGTAAAATGAGTTACAATAATTAGTCTTAGATGAAACTAATGAAGTAACATGTAAGAAAAGAGTAGGATCGTTCAGAGGAGGCAAATGTTTTTTTAATCTACATACATAGATAAAAGTAAGAGTTTGTAGTCGCACTATTATTCTGAGTAGAAAGAGAGAGATTGATTGATTGATTGATATAATATAATATACTATAAAGAATTAATGGCAAATAGTGAATTTTTTTCAGTGGTTAGAAACTCTTAGCTGCTTGACTTCAGACGAACTTAACGACATTCCCTATGGATGTATTAAAGTCAGTTACTCTTTAATTTAATATTTAATAATAATTTCTATTAACTTTTATTTTGCTTCTTGTATCTTTATATTTGTAATTTCTGACTGTTTATTATTTCTCCAATTTAATTAAATATACATCATAATAAATGAACAGATAAAATACTTGAAAAAGTTAATAAGTGAATTACTTGTAAATTCATAATTTAATAACCTTGGCCAAGTATCATCATGTCATCCTACTTACTGATTAAATTTAGAGATGTGTGTCAAATTTGAATTCATGTTTGAAAAAATCATGATAAAATGGCGATGGCATGTTAGCAATGTTCTATAAGTTCACTAATATTTTTTATATATAATGCATTAATTGTTCAATTGTTTAGGAACACTGGTCTGATTCATTCAAAAGTTTTTTGAGAATGTGCTTTGCACTAAGCCTACACAAATACAATGCAGAACATTTTTCAGAAAGTCTGTTACTAGCAAACGATTTAAAGAAGAACATGAATCCTAAAAAAGTGCATGAAGTTGAGAGAATGGCAAAATTTATTGACATGAAATGCAAAGAATTGGATTGCAAATATATCATTGACATTGGATCAGGAATGGTAAACATTGACGTTATAATTTACAATCATTTAATCATATTGCTTTTTTTCATTTTCCATTAGGGTTACCTAGGTTTTGTAATGACTAAGCTACTTGATTACAAGGTATTAGGCATTGAAATCAGTGAAAAAATGTCTAGAAAAACGAATGCCAGGGCTGAAAGTTTGTTTGCTAATTTAAGCTACTGTATGTAGGAGTTGGCCAATAAAAATATTTGAAAATTTTGTTAGATGTTTCCAACTTCCACACAATTCAGTTTGCTATGGGAAAGTGTAATACAAGTGATCTGCAAAATGCAATTCATTCAGCTTGGAAGTATTTATTTTAGTTTTTTTAATTTTGTTAAGATGAATGTTATTTATTTAGCAACAAATTGCAGAAGATTTTTTCGTTCACCTTAATTTGCATAAATGATATCTATTTTTGTATTTATGTTATTTCTTTGTTGTTTTGTAACTTCTAATTAGTCCGTTGATAAGTTTTTAAAATAATGAAACACCTGTCACATCAATGTTTTAAGAAAATGTTGTGAATATTTAACACTTTGAAACCAGCTTGAAAACAGATGGGGAGTCAGGCATACCAGACATGTGTTTGGTAGGGCTACATTGCTGTGGCGATTTATCTGTATCTACCATCAAAACATTTTGTCAACTGAAAAGCATCAAACTGTTGCTGCTCTTTTCATGTTGTTATCATTCTATGAAGCAAAATGGTCTGTGTAATTAGATTCATCCTATGTATATCTGTACATTTATTATTGTTATTAGAAAAATCTGTAGCTATTTAATTGCTTTTTTATCAGTCCTTCTGAAGTTATATTTTTGCTATCTGTGGTAAAACAGATTCCATGAGATTATGGGCAGAGTTTATTGGTAAATCAGGGTCATATGCAATGAAAAGCAGTTAAAAGTTTCTAGATATATATAAATATACATGTAAATGTTGGTAATAGACCATAATTTTTACAATATTCTATAAATTCTACCGAACATTCGGTAGAATTTATAGAATATTGTAAAAATATACATGTATATATTATATTACATATTATAATATACATAAACATGAATACGTGATAGATGATAGAACGTTTGAAAATTTTCCATTGAGCAGTGATTTTAAGTTTCTAAATCAACACTACTGCCTCAACCTGTACAGTTTCAGATTGGCTGCTCAACAAACAAGGTCTGTTTTCGAGCTTATTTAGTCTTGTTAAAGGACTTATGACGACGTTTTATAAGTGATAATGGATATAATATTATTTATGTTATTAAATTTCTTCATTAATGATTTGCAAATGTTCAATTTGATACTTTGTTACCTCTAGATCCTCCTGGAAGCTACAAACTTCAAATGACCACCATCTACACATGCTGAATGTTGGCTACCGTTCAATTTTGGAACTAGCATGTCATAAATGTAACTAAAAATATTGTTCATCGTTATCTATTCATCCTTTGATATTTGTGTAATATAATATTAATTTTATAATATTATAGGGATATAATTATTTATTTACACCCTGTACAGCATTGCACCTGGGCTAATTGAACGGGTTCCAAAAACTTGCTCAAAAAATGCCATTTTTCATACAAAATTTTAATGAATTCATGATGCTTGTTAAAAATAAAATTCGAAAATAAAACTGTTTAACCTAGGGGAGGCATTTTATATAACATTAAAATTTATTTCACAAATTTGCAGAAACGCACAGTAAAAACTGTTACAGTAGAGAAAACACATTGATCAGATTGTACTTGGAATGTTGATTGTGTTATCGAACTTGTATACAAAATTAAATGAATGTACTTACTTACTGATTTGATTTGCAGACGGCTTGGCCTTCAAGAAGAATCATCGAAAGTTGACAAAAATTTGCAATAATACTTCATTTCCAGATTATCTAAACAGCATTTGCTCGAGATCCACACTTACAAGTATTATAACATCTGTTTCCACTCTTCAAGTTTTTTATTGAATTAATGTACTACGTTGAATTTGTTTGTCACTCAGTAGATCACAGTGCCATGAATAAGATTTTAGCCTTATATCAGACATGCCACCCAGTCATGAAGCTCATTGAACCATTCACGGTAAGGTATATCTATCTGTTGACCCTTATTTTTTCTTCACTTTTCATAAATTTATTTTATTTTGCGCTTGTAAGTTTTTTATTAACTTGTACAATATTTAATGCCACATGCAGATGTTACAAGTCATGTTTCAACCGATCATAGAGCTCTTGATATTGGAGGATAGGTGCAGATATGTTAAAGAACAGGGGTTTAACTGCAAGGTTGTGCAGGTCTTTGATGATCAAGTGTCGTCAAGAAACTGCGCCATCTTAGCTCACAAATGATACCAAAAAATTATGTTAACGTTTTATATTTCGAGTGAGGATTTCACGAATGAAAACATTTTCTACAGAGAAAAAAGGTATTGCAACTAAAAGGAATTTATTTAGTTTTGTGCCAGAAATGTTATGCGCAGACTTCAGACACGGTTGCATGGTCGCCTGGTTGAGCTAATTCTAAACGTCTTACCACTATATTTATGTTGGTCGGGTGTATGGTGCCGAGTCTGCAAACATGACTCGGTGAGTTGCATAGGGCAGTAGTTAAAACAGTGTAAGATGATGCATCCTGGGGCCTACTTCCTTAAAGTCACTGAGACACCACTTAAACTTGAACGATTTTCTTTTTCAGAATGTTTTTTAATGTTGCGCTTCAACTCTGTCAATATAATTATAAAGCGTACATATTTAGATGTCATTAATAATTTTATTATGAACTTTTTCCAATAAAAATTTTTTAATAAGATTATAGAAATAATTAGAAACAATACAAATCATTTGTATAAAATCACATGATTCAATAAAAGAAAACACTCAACCTTCAAATTTTTGAAATTTCTATTGAGTAAAATGTTTATTTCATTTTCGTTTTTTTAATTCTTCAAATCTTCTGGCTAAATCATCAAAATCCACATCGTCTGCTTTGTGTAATGATTTGCCAACTGCATCAGAAGGCACTGCAGGAAGATTTGGAATTTCAGGAAGCACCAAGTTATCAAAGTTGGTTGGCTTGGAGGAATCGTTACCATAGATGTTGGTGTTGCCAGGGTTTATGGGCATACCAGGAGTAGGACCTTGAGAATATGCTCAAACAGTTTTAATTCACTGCAAGCTGTTTTAAAAACTGATTTACATGGCCTTTACAATCATACTTGAAAATGTTATAAATTACTAATCTAAAGCATAAAGTCTATAGAACACGAACCTCTATTTATAAATTTTATGGCTTACAGCTAAAATAATGGCTTTTTTTACCTCTGTACATTTTTTTTATTCATTTCAAATTCCGTGTCTTATAGAATCTGATCCTATCTTCTTATCTAATCACTTCTTAATCACTGTCAGCAAACGCTTCAACACATCATCGATCTTACAAAATTCTCAATGACGGATTTCATCCTTTCTGTTGCAACCATACAAAGAGTAAAACTAAAAAAGTCTTAATATTATCAGGTAAATGCGCTAACCACGATTGGCAGATGGACCACCCAAGTCAGGCACATTCTGGAAAAAATTATTAATAATATTATCGTCGATTCTGCTAAGAAACTAAACAAAAACGATAGACGCAATGAAAGACGCATGTGCAATATCAGTAGCGTTGAAAAAGAATAAGTTACGCTAATTCATTGTCAACTTTACACCAATTTGAAAATTAGAATTGAATAGGAATTGCACTAGAATACCGACGGGCAACGCAACGTCGTCGTCCCACGTGATTTGCTTGTTGTAGGCGTGTTTGGAATTGGGAGCAACTGCAGGAAGTTCGGGAGGGTTGTCCGCATTCGGATCGAACGGAAGGTTCGTTGTGTACGGAGGCAAGTTACCCATCTGTGAATTGCAAGTTCATGAAAAATCTTTTTAAAAATGAAGAAAGGTTGCTATTAAAAATGAGCTATCATTACAACTACACAATTAAAAATGCATATGTTGAGTAACCAAAACATAGATCAGCAGATTCCTAATTAAGACTGTCTGTCCTAGAATGTATTTTTAATGTCTTAAAGCAAATTTGTAAATCAGTCAATCATTAATTAATTCAATCGACTTTATAGCAAATATTTTCTTATTATTCTAAAAGCTCCTTCTTCGGTTACGTCTGTCAGCCACTTCATGCCTGCATCTCCGGTGCACATTATCAGAGACAGGCAAATATCTAACTATTGAGACCTATGTACATCTGTGCATTTAAATTCATCTAACTCCATTCCTTTAAGCTTGCCACAACGCATTATTATTTTCTACAACAATATCCACGCAACACAAGCAATTAGAAATTCATTGAAAAACTGGAATGTGCTTAAATAATTGATGAACAAAAGAGACATTCAAACCTGATAAGCAACGTTGGGAGGCATCTTACTGTTCTCCATCATGAAGTTTCCAGAGGAATAAGCTGGAGGACCTTCCGATAATGGAGGCGGATATAGGAAGGGATCGTCTAAATTAAATTAAATTTGGAAAATGCTGAACGCAAACTCAATCAAATTTAACACCTCTAACAACGCTCTAAACCATTTTTTGATAAATTTTTTGGATAGTTTTGTTCATCAATTATTCTTACAATTAGATAAATTTTACTCCTCAAAGAGGAAAATATGACGTTGAACTATCATCTAATCGTTTTAAACATGAAGTTAAACTGTATGAACGTTTCAAGCAGCTTCTATCAAACAATGAATATAATTATATTATCATTAATTATAATGAAACTTTGACAAATCATTACATGGGTAGTTGTTAGGCTGTGGTTCAGAGTTAGGGTGTGGATAGTTGAATGGCTGCTTTTTGTTGTTGTCATCCAACTTAACTAATTTAAAATTAAATAAAATTATATTATACCTCAAACAGAAAACCATCACGCTGAACCATTGCTTTAAATATGAAATTAAATAGTATAAGCGTGTCAAGCAGATATTAACAATGAATGTATTTAAATGCTGACAAATCATTACATGAGTAGTTGTCTGCATGTGGTCCAGGGTTATGGGGTGGATAGTTGAATGGTTGCTTTTTTTTGTTGTCATCCAATAGATCTAATCAGTTGTTAAATAATACTTTGTTTTCTAAGAGACCACGTAATAAATTTAAAAATAGACAAATACTTTTATTTCATAATTTACGAAAAAGCATAATTACTGATTTCACCAGACCCGACGACTTGCTTATCTTCAGTGCTGCTTGTTGGCTGCGAAGTATTTTGCATTGCATTTGTTGCGGATGGTTGCAAAGATGTTGGCGTGTTGCCACCGAAGTCAATTAGATTCATTAGCTCTGGGGGCTGGCCCTTCATTTTAAAAGTTTGATAACTGTATGTGTCAATTTCAGAAACTTGAAACGAGTACAAATTTAACTTCAAAGCATGAAAACAAAGACACACACGCACACTCACATAAAATTATTTATATTATAATTTGGGTTAAGTGATTTTCACGACTAAGGATTAGTAAACTTACGCTAATATGCTAACGAAAACGTCATTTATTAGTTTATTATGTTTAAGGTGGATAAATAAAACTGAATGAGGATTTGAAACTTGCCAGCATAACCAGAGGATCAGGCTCAAATGGCACTTTGTAAGACCTGGAAATTTCTACCATGTAATTCTCAACTAAAATTTTAGGAGGGGCAGACAAATTCAATTTGTAGATGACCTATGTGATGAAAATATAACATAAATTTGATATACAAACATGTATAATAAACTTTTATTTGATATGATATAGAGCAAATAGACAAATATAAGAACAAATTAATAACATTAACTGTAATTTTTTGAAAATCTAAGATTTAAAAGGTTGGTCAATAAAAAATAATTTCGTTTCTTATTAAAAAAAAGTGAAAAAAAACAATCCTAAAAATGTATCATAGCTGTCTAAGTACCTAGAGATATAACTATTAAAGACATGAGCTATGTTGTATGAACCAGTATGTGAAAGAAATGCAGCAGTTTACATACCTTCTCATTCACATTGTTTAAATCATTTTTCCTGCACGATTCTGCAAATTCTCTTCCATATTTAATCGTCAGCTGCTGAGATACCTAACAAGTTATTAATAACGTTGATTCATTTTCATTCGTGTTCATTAGCACGGTTTCTTCTCAATTCAAATTTTTAGAATTTGTAGACCTCTTTCAGTTCTGCTACATCACTAGACAGTCTGGGAGCCACCCAGATTATTGTGGCCACAGCTTCTTCCATGCCAGGATCTAATTCACTTTAATTTAAAATAAAATTTATTAAGAGGAGGTAACGGTTAAAATAATAATCACATTTGATAAACAATTTAATTAACAAAATTTCATTTAAATCTAAATCTCTATACACAATTTCAAAAAAGAAACTTAAGAAAAAGAAAAAATTATAAAATCTTTTTAAAGCTTAAAACAGCAAGTGAAGAATATTTTTGAAATAATTATATATTTATAATAATTCTCAATAATTTATTTCAAAAGTTGGCACAACATTGAAAAACTTTAAAATAGCATTTTAAAAAAGTGCACAAACTTCATTCTTTCAATAAGACCAAAACGAGCCAACAACAAATCACAATACATCTCAACGATTTCCATTGCTTCCACTAAATAATCTTCTCTAATTATGTGCTCTACCTTAAATGACAATGTTCAACAGTTCACAAAAGTTACCATCAACAAGATAAAAACTCACCCTGATCCTTGCTCTGTCTTCTTTGTTGTTTCGTATATAATCAGATATTTCTCTTCTTGCTTTTAATGCCAACTCAGCTAATCAAAAAATAAAATTAATAATTTCAAATAAAAACTAAAAAAAATCAAATAATACTAGAAAAGTTTTAGATTATGCACCTTTTTTCTTCTCCAAAAGTTTTAATCTGTTGACACACAATCTCAAATTAGTTCTTAACTTCAGAAAATTTGGACGAGATGAAAACATTTTTAATTGTTAAATGTTGGAAGTCCGTGGTTGAGGAAAGGATCAAGTTACCTGAACCCAAGATCTGGTAAATAAAAAAATTAAATTTATTTTTCTGGTCAGTTAAAAGCTAATCCGTTAATTTTAATGAGATGACCTATTTTAATGCTGCTAATCTAATGTAATAATCTCCATGTATGTGTGCTATTGACTATATTCTAGATGCAATATATATATTTATCATTTATGCATTTAAATTTATTTAATTAAACTCAATTAATTTAATTAAAAAAATAAATCTACACAATTATTGATTGCCCATACCACACATACCTATACCTTTTATATTTATTTTATACTTATAATTATAAATTATACCATAAAAACAGACGTCAGCAAAAAATGTTTTATAAATTAAATAAAATTTAAATTATAAAAATTAGGTGAATTCAACTTTGATGTTCAATAAATAAAATCAGCAATGATAAGAATAATAAATCTATAAAAGTAGAACAAAAATAGAAATGTAATAAAAAATAACTGCACCTTAAATCTTAATTATCAACCAAATTATTAAAAATGTTACTTTAAAACTTAAACACTTTAAAATGAAATGAAGAAACAATTTTTAAGATCATAGATCTTAACGTTTATAAGATGTTTTGTTATAATGATATAATTATATATATTATTACAGTACAGTTATTAAATTATATTATAATGGACGAATTGGAATTACAAATAAAATAACAAAATACGACAGATGACGCTGATACATTCATACACATACAGTCATATGATGATGTTATAATAATATAATATATAAATAACTTATAACCAAGTTCACGAACAGATGAAACAAACAGTTTTAAACATCGAATGGACATGCAATAAATGCTCAAAACGTTCAAAAGTTTACAAAATGACATTAACTTACCGACTCGTCGTCGCGATAATTCAAGAGTTTCAACGTAAAAACAAATTAATAACATACACACGGGCGTGTTCAAATTCAAAATATCAACTAATTAACTTAAATTATAATATTGAGATACACATAAAGATGTTATTAATTATATTAACTTTATCATAAAGTTTTAGATCGAAGACCACATATATAAATTATTATTAATGACATTCGTCATTCAGTTAAACGCAGGAATCGAAAAAATTCTTAGACTGGAAGATGACCTGGAAACGTTTTGTATTTCATATTATCATCATATTGTATCTGTTAGCTTTTGCCTATCACATCAACCACATGACTACTTCTCCATCCCTTACGAACTAAACTTTAGAAGAGTATAAAGGCTTTTGATCTTTTCCTGAATATCAAAAAAATACCAAGGTAAATACTGATTACTTTTTGTAATATTCAGGCGCTAATGTTTTTCGGTCTAAGTTTTTGTTTGATCTTCAAAGTTGAGTTGCAAGCTGCCGATGTTTCAGTAGTCAGTCAAACCCAATGAGATACTTATAACTCAAATAAGTCATTGTCAACTACTCAAGACTACCAAAATAGAATCAACCCAAACTCACCAAAAAACTGCCCACTATGGCAACAACTGCTCCTGAAATGTACACATTTTTAACTGCCCTAACAGCTCAGCATAACTACAACCCATTCTTTCCTAAACAAAACCAGCAAAAGTTTTTGCTTGGATTACAAATACAATACCGAACTTCACGTAGTCAACTAATCTTGCAACTTTTTGACAGCATTAAGTTCAAATTTTATATTTAAGTTTCTTTGGTATGAATGAATAAATAAATTATTTTTCTTACAAAAAATTTAAAATAAATTTATTCTCATTGTATCACAATTGTGAATTGAATCATACTACTTGATCTGCATGTTGACCTGTTTTAGTTTTAGCGTGTTATTGTATTTAAGCTGAAGTATACCGTTAGGATCTTTAGCCTTTCTGCAGCGATTATAAATGGGTGTTTGACATGACATCCACATTGTTCTTGCTCATTGCAATAATTTTTACTTCATTTTAACAAACGAATTAATGCTAAACTTGTAACGACAATTGTATATTGATTGTCATAATAGAAATTGTACAACAATTATTTAATCAAGTAAATTTATTGCAATAACAATACCACTTTTAACCATTTACTTGTTATTTTATTATTATAATTTTAAATTAACAAGATATTTGAAATTACTCATATCTTCAAAAATTTGACAAATGTTCTTCATCTGTATTTTAAGTGTATGATGCACCTGTACCGTATGGTTTTAAAAATCAAATCTTAGTTAATTTCATATTAATAAGTTTGGAAATGTACGGCAGAGAGTAAATTTTTTTATTATAATTATAATCTAATGAATAAAAATTGAAATGCTATAAATGAACAAGACCAACCCAAAAACCGGCGAACTCGTAAGCATTTTTATTTAATTTGGTGGTCTGCACAAAAAAATTATTAATGTTTAATCAAATTTATTAATGTGTGATCAAGACTATTTCAACCATATTCTCTATTAATTAATAAGGTTGTGAAGAATTATAAAATCTTACTTTTTCAGCTACTGCATCCTTCTTTTTCAAGGGGTGGTCGTAATCATCTAGCCAATCGTCCTTATTAACAATTCGTATTTTAAAATAAAATTTGACAATGAAGCAGGCTAATTGAAAAATTGTTCCTAGTTTTAATATTATTTTCATATTATTTTACTTCTCGTTTATTATGTTATAATTTACCGGAAGTTGTTTTTACCCTGGCATCACGTTTTTGGCGATCGGACACTTCTCTCTTTCTCAAGGGGTGGTCGTAATCATCTAACCAATCATCCTAAATTTAATTTTTTATTTAAACTTTCAAAAATATTTGAGTCGAAGTCGAACAAGTTTAAATTAACCCTGGCATCTCTCTTTTCCATTGGATGCACACTAACATCAGGCCGATCCTGTGGAAATGTCATTACACTTTTGAAGGGCAAAATAATATAGTAGAAGTTTGATGATTCTTTTATTAGAAAATTAACTTAACTATTTTTTTCAAAAACCGTATGCAGACACAACCGGTCGCATAAAACTTAAATAAATAATTTTGGGTGATATTCAGAAAAAATTTAACGTTGACTAATAAATATACAGCATCTTGTTTTTGGCTTCAATTTTTTATCAATTAAAATTATAAATGAAAAAAGTGTTTTTTCTTGTATTGTTTTTATGAAAACAATATGACAAGTAAAATAAAAATTAACGAATAAAATATCGTAATTTTAATCAGTACCTCTCGCTTTTTGTCCTCCAGTGCCGAAATAAGTTGGCACTCCAATACAACAAGGTAGAGTACTTGCACTTGCCACATCTTCAAAAAGTTTTCGACAGACAATTTGGTGAAAATTTTTTGAATTTGACTTTCAATGGTCTACCCGATGCAAATTTATAGAAATTTTGATATTGCGGTAAGCTTATTGAGACATCTGTTTTTGAAGTATTTAAAAATGTTTTTTTCTTAATTGGCTTGAAAGCTATTTACGCATGAGATCATCATGAATTTATTTCTTTTTTCCTACTTGTAGTGAATTTATGTAAATTTAATTTTAATATTTTTTTTCGTTTATACTTTTTACAATCAACATTTTTCGTTATTTAATTTAAAATAAAAAAAGTGTGAAAAAATTGAACAAAATTCATTCCATACAGAATTTAATGAAAAATTTTTACTCCGGTCTATTACATGATTTTATAATTTACAGAATTTAATTCAATGATTATAAATTTTCTATTCTCTCAGACAAAAAGTAAAAAATCTCTTATCTAAATAACCTAACTCAATAAATCCGTTTAACATTAACATCATGAACGTTTGTTTTGTCATGACCATCAAATGATTTATTAGTGAATAGTCATGTATGACAGATGAACAAAAAAAATGTTTAAACCAGACGAAGATATGAGCTGTCAGTTGTCTTGTAAGAAATTATTCACGCTGCACTGGCAAATTATTTTACACCGAAGTTAACTCGTTCTCGTTCAGGTAGCATTTTAATTTTTAAATAAAAATGATAGAGAAATGACAAAATCGTCAACGATGTTCAGAGACATTAGAAAAAATTACGTCTAGTGTAATTTTTATATGTAAAATACGTTTGTGTTAATATAAATACCCAAATATATGTAAATTAGAAATAAATATTAATTAAACAAAATTCTTAATAAATCGTTTTTTAATTATTTCATCTTAGGAAACATAAAAACGACGAGTTGTATTCACTAGTTTTTTAATGTGCTATATGTTTAATATTGCTATTATGAATAAATATGCAGATAAATTCAGATAATGAAAAAATTCTTTGTTGAAACATATATTTTAGCTAATTAAATCCAAGTACTCTTGTCTAAGACTGTCTTCTCGTTTCCTCGTGTTCTTAATTTTTGCTTAACAATTTTATGCTAAATCTGCTTTTGCTTTTCTGGTATTTTTTCTGGAACTATCTATTGAAATAATATATATGTATATTATACATGTTTCAATATATTTATGACTTTCCATAGTTTCAGACAATCTTATATTATTGCTAACTTGACTAACTTGCACGTGTATGCTTTTCGCTTTTTGTCGACTAACGTGTCTTCTAATATTTCAATTAACGTTTCTTTAATAAACAATTATATTAAAAACGAACAAAGAAGTTTTTTATTTTAAACAGGTTATGAGCCCAGAACGCTTAATAAATTGTTTAGAGAAAAAGTTATTTTGAAAAAAAAAATGAAGAGATTGCAATTCGTGACTAAACTTTTTCTTTTTAATTCCTCCCAAACTTCAAACGCTGTGTTCTTGTCCATTATCTTTCGGTATGTATCTTCTGTGACTGCATTCGCAATTACTGATTTGGCATAACTGTTTGCCTTTCTAAACAGATCTGATTTATTTTTAAAATCTTTTGTCTGCTGCTCTGTTTGATTTTCTAGTAATTCTGGTTTCGACAACTTCCCATCAATCACATCAATTTTTTTTTTCCTTCAAAAATGGACTCAAAGCTTCAAATAAAACAGTTAAGTTGCGCAGCCGATTGGCCCATTTGGAAACGTCGTGTTCGAGATTTCATTGACTACCATGAGGGCGCACTTGATGGATGATGG